AGAGAGCTGGAATGGTCATGTTCACAAGTGCCGAGAGATGTTGTTCTGCTGGGGCCTGGGAACTGTAAAGGAACCCACCTCCTCCTGCCCGACAGTTTATTACTGATGGCCCTGGCCTGTTTCCTCCCAAATCTCAACTCCACCAATACTCAGTCCATCAGAGAAAAAAGCAAGAGTGCCCTGTCCTTTACTCCAGCGCTAGTGAAATGAAACTTTAAATTGAGTCAGTTTCTAAGTGGAATGAAAGTCTGGACAAAAACCCTCCTCCCCATCCACACCACTGACTTCTCAGCGCTTCCCTGAGGCTCGTGGTGCAGGTGCACACAAACCCGAACTCTGCTTACTGCAGTGAGCCTCAGCCTACCACTATGAATGCTCATCTTTTGACTGAGTGTACCATGTTAATGTTTGAATTCAGGTAGAAGGGAATAGATGTGGAAGGGAGCTAGGGGCAGGGTGGGAAGTGGGGAAAGCGAGGCGAAAGAGTGAGGGATATAGCTTTAGCCATGTTGACGGGCCACATTCCCGAACAGATGGGTAGCAGTTGCCATTGACCTCTTCTGAGATGAACTCTCCCATAGGACCTTCCAGACAGCACAGAGACATGGAGGAAATTCAGACAGAAAATAGTTCACCCTGATAGGGAAGGAGTGACTATATTTTAAATTAAACTTGCTTTTGCCAACACTGTGAGGTTTCTGTAATATTTAGCTTTTATTTGGAAGCGATAGCGTATGGCATGTTTTATGCTGTTTGGTTTATATTACCTGCTGCAGGCTTCTTTATATAAGCACTGCCTGGGCTCAGCCTCTCCTGGACACTGTTTTAAAGTGTCCCAGCTGCCCACGCTGCCAGAGGCTTGGATGTGACCCTGTTCTCTTAAAACCCACGTTTGTAAGTCAGCATGACTTGGAGATGCTTCTTGCGGCAGTGGAAAAGCGCATTAACTCCGAACACTACGGAGAGTGAAAGGGGAAGGAAACTACAAGTTGTGCCTCATCTTCCCGTGAATCCCATTATTTATTACTCTAGAAAAAGAGAACTTACAACACGGAGAAAAGCTAGAGTATCTCTTTCGCCTCGTAAGCTGTCCACGGGGAAATACTTACTAAAACACAAGCATGTAATGGAAAACTAAAAGATCTTCCAACTTAATTTTTACAAATAGTTTTATACCAAATATTCTAAGGATTCTTAAGCAGATTAAGCACATTGTAAAATGAGTGCTTAACTTAGCTGGGCACCCATGTATCAAATTAGTAAAATGAGTTGGAATAGAAGCCAACATCAGCGTTCTCCAGCAGAGCCCCAGACTCGCGAAGGTGCTCGCCACAGTGCCACAGTCGCAGACACCTCAGGTACCCAGAGGCAGCAGCACTAGACACTGTTACAAACTTAGTATTTAAGGAGATGTTTATTCAAAGAGTTCCCTGCTGCATAAGCCGATGGCTGTTGGGAGGGAAATGTCCCTTTGCCTTTAATTTATTTGCATATTGTGAAGTAGATGAATGTCTCAGTTGCATCTTAGGTTAAATTGAAACAGTCTAAAGAGAACATAAGAACCAGTTAGGAGTTGACCATATTCTACCCAGTCGACCCCAGGATCTCCTAATGGACCTTAGCGGGCCTGCCTCTCTCCCAGGCACTGAGCTGGGAGTCTCCTTCAGGAGCCCTTGCAGACGGCTGGCATGTTTACTGCTGCTGTCGCCAGCCGAGTGAAAGCACCCTGGCCCTCAGAAGGGATTTTTACCTCAACCCAGCCTGACCCTCACCCTTGGTTGCCTCCAGGAGGGCATCCACACTAGTGTCAAACAATAGGAATGACCTCAGCAGCCAGGAACCGAAGCTCTTAGTAAATGGTGGACAGAGCTCTTGCCCGCTTTGATACCGCCCCTCTTAGGCTGAGGGGCGGGGGCAGTGCCACACTGGAAGGAATTCCCAGATGTCTCTTACAATGTCATTAATAGGATTGGAAACTGTAGAAAATGTTAATGTGTCCTATGGACTCAATAGCAGAGTTTATTTTTGTTTTTAATGGCAAGGCTTCGGAGCCAATGATTGTATGAGTTCCCGACTCTGGCTATGCTTACAGCTCCATCCAAGTACCAAGGAAGAACCAATGAGGTGGGTTGGCTGGCAGTGGGGCATGCCCCGTGTAAGGCCGAGAGGTCAACAGTAGTGCAGAAGAAAACTTGGTTGGGGATGGGTGGGGTGGGGGAGGGTGGGGAAGAGGGTGGGCAGGCAGGGAGGGAGAATGGAATTTGTTTTACTTATTGATAAAGTTTTGTGAACTAATTTTATACAATTCCTAAAATTTGGTGCCTTGTACCCAATTATGGTTTGCATGGGATTGAAAAGATTAAGGGAAAGGATTCCTTTTTGTCATTTCAAGTGGCAAATGAGTCTGTACAGTGTTTAAAGGACGTTTGGTATCAGACTTTCGAAAAGCATTTCTTATCTCTGTGTGTGAATGCAAATTATTCTTACCAGCAAGTTCTGCGATGTCATTGTGATCTCCAAGTTCTTTCTCTTTGTGATTGGTCGTCACACGGCTGCTCTTTAAGGCACACTGTGTAGCTCTTTCCACCCTCTTCGGTTCCAGACACCAGCTCTGGCCTTTTCAAACCAGCCTGGGAGACCACCCCTTTCTAACTGTATACCATGGCCCTCGCTAGGACCGCGCCTTGCTTTACCAGCTGGTTGCAAGAGCACAAAAACAGCCTTTTGGTCTTTATCCAAACAGTGACTAAGGCTGGAGGATGTCAAACAAAAAGGGTTCCTCTTGAAGTGGCACCTTCCCTCGGTTCTGAAGTTCTCTCACAAATGCCAGGAAGCAGTGTAGCAAAGTCCCCTACCACACATGAACACAGGATTGGAAGGAAAGCGGTGCACTGTGTAACATGCAAAGGTAATCGTGCAAAGGAGGGCGCAGCCTCTGACGTGGCCCCCGACGGGTTCCCCAGGTGCTGGCTGGGACAGTGGTGTGCTCACTGCAGGGCTCTGCACAGCCTGTTTCTTCTTTCTCCAACCTTCAGTTTTTCACCGAGCATGTGACATCTCACCAAAGGGTGTTTAAAAAGCTCGCCACATAAAGCACACTGATAACTGGGTCCCTCAACTTAGTTACTGGGCTCATTAAGTAGGTGAAGAGATTTCTCCCTGAGGGTTTTGGGTTTTGTTTTTTTAACCAGGTAAGTATGCTTCTCCCTGCTATTCTAATTCTTTTTTAAACTCAGCACTGACGCTGAAAAGCACCTTCTAAATTCAACTGAGAGTTTAGTTTGTATCTTCCATGCTTGATAACCATTCTCTACGTCTAGGGCTGTAACTGTAACCACTAGGTACTCATGGCTCTGAGAGACCACAGCTACTCTAACACCGAGCCAAGCCCTCGTTTTTGTGGCCTCTCCATACTTACTAATGCTTAACATCTTAACTAGCTAAAATTGTTATACTGTGCTAGCGTTAAATAGCCCAGGCTGAGAAGTATAACGTGATACAAAATTGACTTCCCGTGGGGAGAATGTTGCGTTGGCACTGATGAAAGCCAGCACCTGCATTTCCAGAATTACTGATTTTGGCACTTGTTAGATTCAGACTACTAAATTCGTATCACTTTGAAGAGTTAAGTCAGTGTAAATGAAACAGTACCCAACCAGCATTACGGCATTAAAAACCAACCAAGAGTAAACACTATCACTTTGAAACTAACACATTATGTTTTGAGAAACCAAAATTATGCTTTTGCAAGCTGCTATAATACTGGTTGGGTTTTGATTTTCAAATTTGTAAATTTTTATCAGATCAAACTGTTCATACTTAGGGATGAAGACTTTCAGGATCTAAGTTTCCTTCCCATGAAAAATAGCAAGTGCCACTATTTCATGTCTCAGCAGTTGTCTGATGGGGTTTAGCGTCCAGGCCATGGTTATAAACTTCCTCCTGGTCACCATTTGAGGGGTGATGGCTTCAGACATAAGCCTAGCTCTCGTGTACGTGACTCTTAATCATCTAAAAACCCCTCAGAATGTCTGTGATCCCAGTGTAGAGCCTGAAGGGTCTTGGCTTCGTCATAGGTTAACAACAGGCCTAAAATGACACAAGCTCACGGCTCTGTCCTATCAGGATGCATCTGAGTAATACAAGAGATTGGCACTTCTTAATCATTAAAAAAAAAAAAAAAAAAAAGGCTAAGTCTCAAACTTTCTTCATGAGATCTGTGCTGGCAGGATGAAGAAAAACGATTCTGTCCTGTTCACCTTTAGTGAACAAACTGTAGGGCCATTGTGGTCAGACTGACCTTCCTCTCCGATTCTCATCCTTTAATCCCACACCAGCTCTACAGGAGACTTGGTGCATAAAAGCAGTATTTTTTCAAACACCTAGTAGTGTAAATTGGCCAGCAACAAGCTGCCCTGGGGAACCTGTCTCTGCCTTTCTACAGCTTTCTGAGTCTTTCCATACCAGTTCCTTACATACTCAGTTTCCAAAGACTCCAAAGCCCCAGAGTGGCCCTACTGTGCATGTTAGGGTTACAAACACCGGTTCTTCATGAAGGAGGCCGCTTCCTCGGCAGTGTCGCTGCAGCGCCCACTGCCCAGGCCTCTTCAGCACTGCCTCCACCTCACTGCACTGTTCTTGCCGCCACACCTCACTCTTCCAGCAGCAAAGCCCCCCCTCCCCCGGGCCTGGAACCCACGTGGTGCACTAACATGCTATGCAACACCAAATGGCTTCTTCCCGCAGTACTGCTCAGCAATGGAAATGCCTCAAGAATAAGCCTCATGCTCTGTGAACATCAACGTACGGTGGTTACCATTTCCATTCCTTTTCCTTTTTTAAAATGACGCAGACCACCTCCATTACAATCCATGTTTGGATCTTGTTCCTGCCTCTTTTGAGTATGAAATATAAATCATGTTTTTATGATTTTTGTAAATCTTGACTTTTTACACCTTGTTTTTGTAAGCAGAAGTTTCTTATTAAAAGAATAAAATGGCTGTCCTTGTATGCAGTCTTTATTTCACATATCTGTTAACACACCATTGTTAGTCCTCAGGACCGGAGCGCTCACACGGTGCAAAACTGTGGGAACTATGTACAGAACTTGACAGAGCAGAAGCGATACCTTAGCGGGGGCTGGGCTGCTCACCAGGGAGCACAGTTCCCAGTGGACTCAAGGGAGGAGAGAGAACCAGGCAGGGAAGGGGGAGGCTCCCGCTGCATCAAACTTCAGCCGCCATCGGGGCATGTCCTGTGGTGGTCACACACTGTGGGCTGCTTTTGGAAGGCTTGAGTACTGCACCGAGATTCCATCTATCTGCAATCAGATGACAGGACAACAGATGACATCAGAAACGGAAAGCACAGGAGGGAGACTGCTAAGATTCAAATCCCTTGTGCCATCTGGAAACACATTTAGCTAGGAAAGCCAAGGGTTTAAAATCGAGTCTTCTAAATTTCATGAACAATTGGTATAAATCACGGCTTCTCCCCACCTCTAGGATTCCTAAGACATGCAGAGATTAGGCGCTTACCTCCTTGGCTACACCCCTGGCTGGGGTGCCATTAGGTCAATATCACTCAAGTTCCTGGCCAGCCACACGCCTGCAGCAAACAGTCCCAAATTGAGAATCAAGTTCCTGGAAAAAGAATGTATTTCATCAGTCCTGTGGCCACGGAGTCCCTTGGATAGTCACCCAACACAGCGAGGAAGCCATCACCGCCTCCTTCCTGAGGTTGCCCAAGACCCACGTGGGAATTCTGAGTCCACTTCTGAGCCTGATAACGGCAGGATCAAACCCACAGACCAACTAAGCACTCGTCCAGCGCCCAAAACCCTGTTGGTATTTGGGCACCTTCTCCCGCCCCGTCACCCTATATAGCGTCTCTTTAACAGATCGCGTCTGCCCCCACGCAACTCCCGCGGTCAAGGACCCCAGCAAGGTACACCCAAGGCCATGAGAAGGACACGATGTTGGCAGTGTACCGAGACACCCCCGGGGACGCCAACCCCACAGGGACAGGGCAACGCAGCAGGTGTAGACGGTGAAGGGCAGAGAGGGACCGGGATGCCTGGCTCAGTTACCTCCGGAAATCATTCCTGTCAGTGGCAAAGCGATAGACGCCACGAAGCCAATCTCCCACGTTGTCAGGGATCTCTGGAGCTTCATTCGCGGGGCCAGAAGGATTCACAGTGACCCCACTGGAAGCCATAGCAGCACCTTTGCGCTCAGCACGGTCCCCTCACACGGTATAGCAGCCGCCCCGGCGATACGCAACTTCCGGCCTGGCACTTCCGGCGGTGCTGGCCGGCAGAGGGCGCTGCGACCTGAGCATGCGCCGACGTCCGAGTCGGGCCCGCCCCCAGCGCTGCACATGGAGGCGCGCGGCCCGACTCCACAGTCCCCTGCTGCTGGCTCCCGCTCTGCAGCTGCACGTGCCGAGTGATCCTTTCGGTGGCTCCAGAGGAGGATGCTGGGCTGTCCCAGCCCGTGAGGGTGGGGTAGGGGCTGGCTCTGCCCGGAAAACGTAGCCTTGGGGAATGGGGTTTTCAAGAAAGTCTCCATCGAAAGTCGTAGAACGCGCTGTGCTAAAAGGGGTCGCAATTTGTAACTCCCAGGCTCGGTCCCCGATTGCTTTCATCTTAGGAGTTTTGTAAGGGGAGGAGCGCCTGGTGTTCTCGCCTCACAAGATCCCTCCCACCCTATTCCCCGCCGTCTCCTGTCTGTGTCACTAGCAAATGGTGCAGTGCTTCCTGGAGGTGGCTCTGTCCCCTGCTTGGGGGCATCCAGGGGTCTTCCGGGACCGGGGAAGAGGCTGGCCCAAGAAAAAGCCTTCGGGTTCTGAGTCAGAGGAAGAGGAGCAGGTGGAGCAGGGGACATCCTCCCTCGGATCATGGGGCGTCTCTAGAAGGCCTTGTTCCCGCTTCGTGGGTCCCTCTGCCTCGGCCCCAGCTCGGCACTCCTTCCCCTGCTGGGTTTCCAGGCTGGAGCTGGCGGCTGCGGCGAGAAGGGCTGCACTGTTGGTGGTTAGGGTGTTCATCGAGGAGCGATCCTTGCGTTCAGTTCGTTTGGGTCCCTCCTCCCCTGTGCCGGGGCAAGACAGAAACGCTCACCTCGGGGCCCCGAGTTTCCCTCTCCCGGAACCAGGCTGGGCGACCCGACAGTTGAGCCCAGCGCCGCACCCGGTCCCGTCTCGCCCCTCCCCGCCCCAGGACCAGCGGCCGCCCCCAGTGCCGCCGCCAGTCCTCTCCAGGGTCCCCCGCCTCTCCGCCTCCGCCCACCAGAGGGCGGCCGCGTCCCCCTCCCGGGAGCAAGTCCGGCGCCGCAGCCCCGACCGCGGCGCGGGGTGGGTCCGGGAGGCCCTTGGAGCGCTGCGGCCAGGGACGCGCGGTGAGAGCTGCGGGCCCGGAGGCTCGCGTCGGGGGGGAGGGGGCGCTGCTGGAGGGAGGGGATGGCGCGGGACCGGGGCGAGGATCTTAGCTCAGGAGGACCCCTCCTCCCAGCCCAAGCCGCCGCCCCCTCCCGCTCTGCTCTGCACCTCTCCCATACCAAGGGTCGCCCGCCCTTCCAGCGTCCCGGCCGAGCTCGAGCCCGCGTCCGAGTAGCGGCTCTCGAAACAGCTGAGGCAGCAGGGGCTGCCCCCCGGCAGGGCATAGCGGCCTCCACCCAGGGGCCCGGCGCAGTCCTGGCAGCAGAAGTGGTTCTCGTGCCAGCGCCGTCCCTCGGCCTCGGTGCAGCGCGGGGAGAAGATCAGCTGGGAGAGGGAGAGGGGAGCGGTTCGTTCGTTCGTTCATTCATCCATCCATTCATTCATTCATCCAGTAGCCACGCCTTAAGCCCAGTTAACGCCGAAGCACGTCTAAGACATTCCCATTTGATCAGCTGCTCTCAGACGCAGGAAGGGCTGGACAGGCTTGGCCAGGATGCCCCAGGTAGCAGGTGGCAGGGGCACTGCTCGAAGGGCGTGCGACCCTGGCTGCCTCGGCTGGGGAGACTCCCAGCTCTGCTAGGCGCTACCTTTTGTGCTGACACTCAGCATAGCACTGGGCACCCGATATACTGAGATGGATTCCAAGAGTCTGCTGAGACATTCTGAGTCCGTAACATTGGAAGGACTCTGCTTTCATGGAGGGAGGGCACAGATAAAGTAGGGGTCCCACGTGCCCAGGAGACAGGGTGGTCCTGGGCTGGTTCCTGGTTCTCCCTACCTCATTCCCACATGCCAGGAGGGGCTGCAGCCCAGGAGGACATCCCTTAGTATCCCACCACGCTGGCCATACGCAAACCCAAAGCTCCACCACCCGCTGCCGGCCCCGTGCTGTACCTGGTCGCAAGCTGGGCAACGCGGCCGCAGCAATTCGGCGTGATGACGGCCGCAGTAGAGATGCCCATCGCGGTAGAAGTAGATGAGGCTTACCAAGGTCTGGCCACAGGCCTGGCAGGTAAAGCAAGACCGGTGCCAGCAGCGCCGCTCCCCTGCCCGAGCTGCGAACACTCCATACTCGCCTGGCTTCAGCGGCTGCCTGCACTGGCGGGCGGGCGCGCTGGGCTGGTCAGAGCCCGCACCACTCCCCTTGCCCATCCCAACCCCAACCTGCACACCACTCTCCTTGTCCATCCCAACCCCAACCTGCACCCGCTCCCCACTGCAGCCTCCACCAAGAACCCACCCCCCATGCTTGAGTCCCTTGTTCCCAACATCTTCCACATTGCAAAGCCTGGACCCCACTTCCTGGCCAGAATCCCAGAAGTTGGTCCCTTCTGCGTAAGTGAGAGGGGCAGAGTGGAGGGAGAGCAAGGCTCGCGGGGGGAGGGGGTCCAAACCTTCTCACAGGTGTGGCCTTCGAGCCCCGGAGAGACTGGGTGCACCACCCCCTGTCCCAGGGCCTCCTGCTTCCTCTGGGCACAGAAGAGCTGCAGCTCGGCGCGCTCCTCCTCCGCAAGGGCCAGGCAATAGCGCTCCTGCAGAACAGACTGAGGCTTAGCCGTGGGGTCTCAGAGAGAGGCTGCAGACCACCCCCCACCCGGGAAGTGCGGGAGCCAACAGCAGAGAGCACTGGGAAGGGCAGCGAATGAGGCAAAGGGGTACAAGAGAAAGGCCACCTCCATCCCCCCCACACCCCAGGGGTCACCCAGGGCCTGAGCGCCCCCTTAGCCCTGTCCCCAGGGTTTTAGCTCCTTGCTCCCAGTGACTCAGAGCCCAGCATGGACTCCCATTCTCCCGCCGTCTCTAATTATGTCATATACTCCCGTCTGGCCTCCCCGGCTGAATTGTGAGCCTTGAGGCTGGGCACACATGCGCCCTCAATAAACCCTTCGCCACCACACTCTGCATTGGTCCATTCCATGACTGGTTCCAAAAGCCGCTCACGTCCATCGCTCATTTGCTCGTAAACTTAACCACTGTGGCGGCCAGAGCAGACGTTCCTGCACCCCTTAAGTAGATGAGGCAGAGCTGGGCTTAAATCCATACCCCCTGACTTGGGGACCCTGGGTCTTCCCACAATAAGTGAGCTGAGGACCAAGGGATGGGGGGGGCAAGAAAGAGGGAAGAGGGGGTGCAGGACGCACATGGCTGTCTTGTGGAGGGAGCTGCCGCAGGAGGGTCCGTAGCTCAGGCCAGCCGGGGGCGTGGTTGGCGTCCAGGCGCTGGGGACCAGAGCTCAGAATTGCAGGACCCTGAGGAGCCAGCAGAGGGGGAGGCATTCCAGGGCTGCATTGTCCCTCGTGGCCACCTCCCCTCCAGCAGAGAGCAGATTCGAAGCATTCCCCTCTTGGGGATCCTCACTGAGGGCACCCAGTCCTGGGCTGATGGGAGGGAGGCTGGAAGGGCCCTTGCCCGCAAACTGCCTCCCTTCTGATGCCTGAACACCCTGTTCCCCAGCCGGGCTCCTTGTGGCTAAAGCTTTGAGGACACAGCACCTCCTCCCCACCAAGGAGAGCTCCCCAGGACTGTAAGAAAGAGGAATTCCTGAAAAGATAAAGGGGGTGGGGTGTCAAACCTCCCACCAGAGGGCAGGGAGCAGAGGGGGCCCCAGGGGTCTCAGCCCAGGCAGGACTCTCACCACTCTTACCGCCCCATTGGAAGGGTCCTCTGGCTCACGTCCTGGTAGGTGGTCCGAGTCACTGTCCCAATTGGCCGGTGGGCCTGGCTGCCTGGATGTGGGACTGTCCTCTCGGTGGGGCCAGCCATTGTCCAGCTCTGACATTGGTGGCAAAGTCTGTCCCAAACCAAGAAGAACACCTCCATCTCCTGGGCTCTCACAATGCGCTCGGCCTCACCCCGTCGGCCCAACAACCAGGTGGCTTCCGTGGTACTGTGCCCATTTTCCAGAGGAGCAAACTGAGCATGAATTGTATGCCCAGGGTAGAACAGCTAGTAAAGGGCAGAGCCAGGTCTTTAAGCCAGGGCTTTCAAAAAATCACAATTCTGGGGTCTCTTAGGATTGGGCTGGAGGTAAGAGAAGTCCCATGGTGGGAGACAGCAGGGGGTATTTTGCCTTTCGGGTGAAGCTTCGGGCAGGCGAGCCAGCCTGAGTCTTCCCACCCCCAACTGCTTGTGCAGGGACAGCACCAGCAGCCCAGTTCCTGCTTTTGGGCCGGCCCGGGTAGGACTGGGGTACAGAGGGGTGGGGCGGGGCGGGGCTGCAGAAGTTGAGGGGAGCGGGGGCCCTGCTTCCAGGAGCTCTCTGGGAGGGGGCAGGGGCAGAGCTCTGAACACCCGAGATACACACACACCCCCTGGTCGAAAAGCAACCAGAGCAGACTGCTCCAGCATTTTCTACAGTATAGGCCGTCCTCCACACTCTACCAGGGAGTCTCCCTTACCCTCTTTTACGGCTGAAATAAACGGAGATGAACTGATTGCCCAAGACCACACTAGAAGGCCAAGGGAAGCCTTGGGAGGAGGTGGCCTCCGAGCAGCAGGGCACACAGGAGGCCATCGCCAAAGCCCGGGTCTCCCTAAAACCCAGCTGTGGGGTCAGGGCCCGTGTCTACACCCCAACCGTTAATGATATTGCTCCCCAGTCGTGACCCCCCAAACACCCCCCCTTCAAATGGCCCGTGCCACCCCTCCCTCCTTCCTGGCTCCACACCCACCTGCTTCCTTCCTGTTCTGTCTCTCAGGTCAGGTTTCCTGTGGAAGGGTGGCCAGGATGGGCGCTTGGCAGTCAGGGCCAGAAGTAGCCACTCCCCCTAACAGCACTTCCCCTGCTCCAGGCAGCCAGGGAGGGGGCACCTGGGGCCCCAGAGGGGGACTTGCACCCTCTTCCCGCTGCGCTCTGCTTTCCGTGGAATCGTCCAATACGGAGACAGGAGACGTCGCTGGAAAATCAGACCTGCACCCCTCACCCTTGCACCCTCTGAGGCGGGCCCAACTGCACCTCCACCCAGCACTGGAACCCACCTTACCAACCGGCCCCATTCCTTACACTCCTGTCCTCTCCTTGCCCCTTCAGATCTAAGGGGCTGGGAGGAACGCCCTCTACCGCCTCCTAGCAGGTGTACCGAGCTCAGGGGTTCGGCCTCCCCAACCCACCCTTACCCTAGAGGGCACAGCCCCAGAGGCCCGAGGGACGGGAGGGTTTCCCGGGACAGCGGGAGGGAGAAGGGTAGGGAGAGGCCGGTCCCGTCAAGGCTCCCCCGACGGGACTTGGGAGGGCCCACCTCCTGCCGTGTGTGTCTCGGCTTGGCTGCTGGGGGCTCAGGGGCAGGGACTGGGTCTCCGCCGGGCTCTCACTCTCGCCGCGCGCCGATGTCTGGGCCGAACGGACAGGGGCCATCCCGGGGCCTCCACGCCCGCCCGCACCGCGCAGCCCTTCCTTTCCCACGCCTCCAGCGGCCCCCTCCAGCCCCTCCCCGGCCGGGGGGACAGGGCTGCTGGGGAGGAGCCTGGAGCCGCAGACGGCGGGAAAGCAGTCGTGAGCTCTCGGGGAGGACGCGTGAGGCTCCACTGCCTCCGCACACACGGGCTTCGCGCCAGGACCGCGTCCGCCGGCTCGTGCAGGATGGAAACACCTTGTCCGCAAGCCCCTTCCCCCGGCCGTCCCCGGAGTCCCCCCAGGCCTTGTCTCGGCCCCTCAGCCCCGCCCCCTCCGTGGGTGTCATCCACTTCCCACCCACTCCCTCCCCTCTCCTCAGAACGCTTCCAGGGTGCCCCGGCCCTGCCCTTCTCCCTACTGCCCCTTCACAGCCTCTCTTTTATCCCCTCTTCCAGCCCCCGTCCCCTCTGTGCTCCCCGGGGAAACCCCACCTCCCGCCCCTCAGCCCCGCCTCTTTGCCCCGCCCCCGCCCCAGGCTCCGCCCCGCCCCCGCCGGGCTTGCTCAGCAGCTGGCCCCGAGCGCCCTCTGGCGTCTGCGCATGCTCCCTGCTCCCGCCTGCAAAGTCCTCCAAAGGGACCTTCTAGGCTGCGCGCCGGTCGCCCCCGCTCGGGTCCGCCCGCCCGCAGCGTCTCGTTGGTGCTGCCGGTGACCTCCGACCCTTCGGCCGCGGGGCGGGGCGGGGAGGCCTTAGCTGCGGGCGGGCGGCGGCTGCTGCAGCGGGACCCGGGAGCGGGGCCCGGCGCCGCCCGGGCCGCGGGGCGATGTGAGTCGGGGCGCGGCGGGGCGGGGACGAGGCGGCTCCACCGAGGCCGCGTCGCGCCGCGCCGCAGTCTCCGCTCCCTCCCTGGAAGTCCCGGGCGGGCGGGCGGTGGAGCCCCGGGGCTGGGGGCGGGGATGCGGGGACGACGCGCGGCTCCGACCTCCCCACGCCTGACGGGTGTCCAGAAATTCTCTCTGACAGCCCTGCAGCTTAAACCTGCCTCTCGCTCCCCAGACCCCTCCCTCGCTCCCTTCCCTCGGGCACACCTGCGTGCCCTGCGGAGCCCCCAGAGCCCCTCGCTCACGCCGCCAACCCGCCAGCCCGCCCCCGGCCCCACAGTTCTCTCCCAGATGTCCCCGAAATGCTCCACCGCTGGGAAACTCCTCTGCTGCGTACCCTTACCTCCCTCCCCCACCCTGTTCTTGCTCGGTGCCCAAATCTGGAATTCTTGCCCACATCCCCCCAAGACTTGTTATTCGTTATTACCCATCACCCCCTCTAGTTCCTGCCCTTGATCCCAGACCAGAGCCCCCCACCCCAACGTAAGCACCCCTCAGTGGGCTCTCTGGTGACGTGTCCTGGTATCTCCAAGGCAGGGGGACAGGAACATTGCACCCCTCCCCCACCCTGCCCCCTATAGTTACTGGCTCCACATGCCCCTAGGGCTCTTGGTGGCTCAAGCCCCAGGACTTCCCAGCCACCTGTCCCGAGTCTGCACACCTCCCTCAGCCTGCTTCCTCCTTCCAGAGTAACCCGAGGGGAGGGTGGGGTCCTTTGACCTGGACGTGGCTCAGGGTTTCAGGGCACAAGGGACCGTGGGAATCGTCGCTTTTCTGGAGCAGAAGGGGGGGATGGCTCGTCTCGTCTGCTTGGGGCTTGACACCCTGAGATTTTGGCTTACTGTTAACATCAGTGTTAAAGTTAGGCCTTCCCGAGCTTGGAGGACAGAAAGTCTACCAGGCTTCCCAGGGTGAGCTGGAAGAAGGAGATGGCCATGTTAGTGATGTTTGTCTTGCCTCGGTATACAGATATTTCCTCTAAAAACTCAGGTGGTGGGAAGGGAGTGGAGTTGGGATACTTAGTAGCGACAAAGCTGGCCAGAGCGTTGGTTTCCTGAATGGGAAGCCAGTGCCCTCTCCAGCCCTGCACATCTTCGTGTCCTTTTGAGAAAGCACTGTGTGGGGGTACAGTTCTCTGCAAAGGTAAGGGGGCGTCTGGGTGTTGGCAGAAACAGGATTCAGAGGGCACTCGAGGGTGCTGGGTTTCAAGGGTCTGGGGCTCAGACTGAAACGCGTGGTCCTAGGGGAGTTTCTCCCTCTCATGGCCTATGGATCTTGGTATACGGGGTCCCTTTGCCCTTGATGTCACTTTGATCCTTGCTGTTTGATTGGGCCCCGGATGGACAGCACAGCAGTTTTGTGGACAGCGGGGGTGGCGGGGGTGAAGGTCTCCGTTAACCTGCAGTCTCTGTGTCTCCTGCTAGGTGAACCCCCGGTGACTTCTCTGCAGACCGATAGCCATGAGCCCTCAGCGAGGACGGGGCGAATAAAGAGGGGCTCCTTCCCCATGCCCCTCCCATGGTCGGCTCCCCAATGGCCTGGGTGAGGTAAGAGCTGCGGGTAGGAATCAGCTTCCTGCAGGCTTCCAAGTTGGGCAGGACGGAGGGAACAGGTCGCTGAATTGTCATAGGCTCTATCCATGCAGCGGGAGTTCTAGGAGGGTAGCGGCTCCGACGGGCTGCATCCCCCCACGGGTCTCGTGCAAGTTGCAACTCTTACATTTGTTCCTTGCTCTTTGGCCCATGCGTTTCCTACTCTCTTAGCTCACGCGGGCCAGAATGGTACCCTTGCCATCCTGGGCTTCAGCTTGGTCGTTGTGACATGTAATCCGAGTTCCCGAATCTTGGACGGGAAAGCCGGCGAGTGAGGCCTCTGGTCTCCCCTTCAAAGGGGAAGAAACCCAGCCTTTGTGTTGATGAGGAGCTACCCAATCTATGTCTGTGGTTACCATTTAGTCTCCTAAGCGTATCTTTATGATCGCACTGGAGCAGCCCATTAAAGGAGGACGTGAGGTGGGTGTTGGGATCGCGGTGAGGGAGGGCGAGAAGGAAGGTGCAGTGGCCAGAGTGCCGGGGTTCCCGGTGAGCGCCCACCCCCTTCTGACACAGCCCGCTTCCTCCGGGCGCCACCTCTGTCCCTGCTCGTGCTCCTGCCTCGCGCCCCTTCCCCGTCAGCACCAGGATCAGAATCCCCTGTACCCAGCCAGGACAGCATGGAATGTTACCTCCAAGAAGCGCTCATCCCCAAACCTGTGCGAATCCTACTACAGTCCCAACAGCAATGCATGTTTGCCTGCTGTGGGTCTGGCCCTGAGCTGAGAGTGGGGATTCCTTGAAGGAGGGTCTTTGTTGCAGTCCTGGGGATGGAGGAGCGGACCACAGGAGAAGTGTCCGCCCAGAGCAGGCCTTTCTGAGCTGCTCATCCCTCTTCCCCCAGGGCGGGCCGGCTGCTCTGACACCATGGGGAGCTGCTGCAGCTGCCTGAACAGAGACAGCGTCCCAGACAACCACCCCACCAAGTTCAAGGTACCCAGAGCGCCTTCTCCACTGCATTTTTGTGGCTGTCGATACTACCAGAAATTAAGAGGAGCTGTAGCATAGTAGCGAAAATGGTGCTTTTAGAACATCCACTGCTGCCAGTGTGTTTTTGTAGGTTTATATACACTTTGGGGCAAAGCAGCAAGTCTGTGAGTTAATCTATGTGAGGTATTTAAAATAATGCTGTTTGCTGTTTGCTTTGGGAAGCTGGGCCTGGCAGTGGGGACCTCCGCCTGCTGGGGTGTGCTGAGGTGCATGCTTCTCCTGCCCGCCAGAAGAGGGCGCCCTCAGCAAGGGCGTACCACTGGGGAGGCAGTTTGTGTTCGTTCTCACTTGTCCTTGACTTTTTCAGGGTCTTCAGATTTTGACTTGACAGTTGAACCCCTTCCCCATTTAATGTCTGGTCCCTGGATGCTAAGCCTTGGCACATCTGAGGTCTTCCAACATTGGCCATTTCACTCTCTGACCTTGAAGGTCAGCAGGCTACCTCTTTCCTCACCGTGCACCTAACAAGATGAGTCTGTTTGTCCAGGCAGCTGCTGTGGGTCCGTGCACCACTTTCTGCAGCCCCGGCGACCTGTGGCACTCAGTGGAGTCTGGAGGGGAGTCCGCAGAGACCCGCCGTCCCCAAGCTCTAGTTGTGCGTCTGACTGCCTCCTGGCGGCTTGGGGACCCCTGCACGCACTTGTTAGACTCACCTGTTGCCCCTCTGTGCTCTCCCGACCAGGTGACCAATGTGGATGACGAGGGGGTGGAGCTGGGCTCTGGGGTGATGGAGCTGACGCAGAGCGAGCTGGTGCTGCACCTGCGTCGGCGCGAGGCCGTCCGCTGGCCCTACCTCTGCCTGCGGCGCTACGGCTACGACTCCAACCTCTTCTCCTTCGAGAGTGGCCGCCGGTGTCAGACAGGCCAGGGTGAGTGCCAGCCCCACCCCAGCCCCAGGGTAAGGGCCTGTGCACGTGGGGCAGGCACTGGGTCTGCAGGTGTCGCCCAGAGAGGGGGCAGGGTCTTAGCCAAGAGCACCAAGCATGGCGTTGCATAACGTATGACCTTCCTCTTGAGGCATCGCGGCTCCAACCTGGGTCCCTTCTTGGAGACATTCATCACACAACCCACGGGAGAGAGCCAGGGCTCCTGGGCCAGAGCCCACCGGACAGAAGCTAGCAGCGACTCCTCCCTCTGCTACTCCAGTTGCAAAGATCCCTGTTGCCCCCTAAGTAGGAGCAAACTTTTTTCTGAGTACCCAGCATCTGAGGCAGGAGACTGGCTGCCATGGGGCTGGGAGGCTCAGGGAGCAAGACTCCTGGGTCCTTGGTGTGCAGGGACCCGCGAAGGCGTCCGTCTCTGCCCCGAGTCTCCTGTGGCGGTGGGCGTGATGGTCTCTCCCTGCAGCACAGCTCAGGGGCTTCGGGCTGTTCCTTGCGGTCGGGGCCAGAGGCAGCCATGGCTCTTGGCGAGAGTGGCGTGGCGGGGCTTGTCTTTCGGGATGCAGACGTAAGCTCTTCCAAGGAGTCCCGCCTGGGGTCGTGACTGCTGTCCAGGATTGTGCCTAAGCAGTGGCTCTCTGAGGCTTCCGGCCAGGCAGCCCCGGGGGTTGTCTGCGGGAGGAGCCTTTCCCGCTGTGTCTTGTGTACCCTTAGCACGCCTCACGCAGGGGCAGGCAGTGTGGGCTGAGGCGAGAGAGGCGAGGCCACTCTAGGCCCCAACACAGGATTCTTCTGAAACTCCAGACCGCTCCGGTCTTTTCCAACCCTTCACATATGGGGGTACTTCAAGAAGTTCACAGGAAACGGAGTTGAAGACAGGAGTGCAGGTGCCACCCTCGACTCTGGCCAGCGTGGCCCTTTTACCCAACGTCATTCCCTCACCTGACAGCGTGACAGTCTGAGTGGTGGGCGCGTGCATCTCCACACCCCAGAGAGCCTTCCCTGAGCCCCAGGTCCCCTGCTAGAGGAAGGGTTGCAGGGTCCCACGCCAGGCCAAGAGCCCGGGACACACTCGGCCCCCTGCGTGCCAGATACTCAGCTCCCAGGACCTGGAACTGACAGGGCCGGGAGGCTGGCTGCCCCGAGAACTTCCATGTGTGCCTCCCAGCGCCCCTTCCCTTCCACACCAGAGTCCACGTTCTGTGAGGCCATAGGCCTGGACACGGAGGGGAGGGTGGGGGGAGCACATTCCCTCTGGCCAGGCACTGGGCCAAATACCCGGTGAACAGGGGGTGAGCAGGACAGACCTCCTGCCCTTGGAGAGCTCAGAGGCCGTGGGGTGTCGGGCCAAGGGCTGGTACCCCAGCTGGGCGGGGCTTGTCTTTCTGGGCATGGGCGTGGGGTCCAGCGTGTCTGGTGGAATCGTCCCACACCCAGCGTTCTCCCGTGCCTCTTGGGCGTTTTTTTCTCTCCCCGTCGCCCTGAATGCCCTTGTCCTTGTGCGAAGGAGCTCACGGCAGGAGCACAGCCGAAGTGGGCATTCATTCATAAGAGGGGAGCAGTGGACCGTGTGGGTGTGGGTGTGGGCGTGGGCGGCGCCCCCAGTACCCTTGCATTCTGCAGGATACGGGGAAGAATACTCAGGGTGGGAGATGCGATGCTGCCCCCTGCAGGCCAGTAATTGCTGCATGCCACCGTGCCGCTACTGGCTCCTGTGGGCCTTCCCCACGCGGCACAGGGTCCCAGGAGCCTCGTTCCTTCCCCTCCTTCTCCAGGGATATTTGCCTTCAAGTGCTCCCGGGCTGAGGAAATCTTCAACCTCCTTCAGGACCTGATGCAGTGCAACAGCATCAACGTGATGGAAGAGCCCGTGATCAGCACCCGCAACAGCCACCCCACGGAGCTCGACCTCCCGCGGGGGGCCCAGCCGCCCAGTGGTGAGGAGACCCCCATGCTTGCTACTGCAGCGCCCGTACACCAGCACGGGCCCGGGGAGCACGGGTCTTGGAGGCATGCGTGGAAGGGGCCGGGGACAGTGGGGGGTGCAGGGTGAGCCTCTCCCAGGACCGTCCTCCGTCATCAGAACCACCCTTGAGGATGGGCGAGTCTGGGGCTGGGCCAATCAGGTGACTCAAGCCGAGGCTCTGGAGTCCCGGGGAGCAGGCAGGCAGAGGCTGGGTTTCCATGGAAACGGCCGTCTGGCGCTCTTTTGCTGCCTTCCTTCTGTCTGCCGGGCCATACCCACAGCCCTGGCTGGCTGCTGGGGCAGGCGCCCGCGGCCGGGACCATCCCCTGGAAGGGCTCCCAGTCTCTGCTCGCTCGGTCGCCATCCGGACGGAACACCTGCTCGGCAGTGGTCTGCACTCCCTGGACTGGCCAGGAGCTTCCCTGGAGCTCACTGGCAGCACCACAGTGAGGCAGAGGGACAGCCCGGTGACAGCAAGGTGTCCCTGAGGAATTTCAGGGGAGGCCGTCGTGGAGGAGGAGGCAAGGTGGGCCGCAAGCTGAGCTCTGAGGCCTGGGGCCGGGTTTGAAGAGCAGAGAGAAGGTGAAGGGTCCCAGCAGCTGCCGGTTCAACGGAGCCAACCATCATGGAGCTCCCACAGTGTCTCCTCCGATGGTGGGCGGCCCGGGACACTATACACATGGGCACCGCTGTGGCTGTCGGGCGGTTTGAAGTGCCACTTACCCAGTCCTATCTCCCGACCCAGCTCTAGGCTACACCGTCTCCAGCTTCTCCAACGGCTTCCCTGGCTGCCCTGGGGAGGGCCCACGCTTCTCAGCAACCCCGCGGCCTTCAGCCAGCAGCCTGCGACACCCCTCGCTCGGGGAGGAGTCCACCCACACCCTCATCGCCCCTGACGAGCAGGTGAGCGGGCAGCCGGTCGGTCCGGGGGCGGGGGGGACTGGACACATGGCCTCTCCTCCCAGTAAGGCTCACGGGAAGGGGGAGCACACCGACAGGGTCCCTTCCCTGGAGGGCGAGCAGAAGAAGAAGCTCCCTCTGTTTGCCCTGAGCCTTTCATCCTGTCCCTCTGTTCTCTCCTTCCTCCCCGCTTCACCGGCACCCTGCTGCCCGCCCAGTCCCACACCTACGTCAACACCCCGGCCGGCGAGGAGGACCAGCCCAGGAGCCGGCACTTCCTGCAGCCCCTGCCTGAGGGCCGGCTCCCCTTCCCCGCCCAGGCCCCCGGCCCCGACCAGCAGGACGCGCAGGTGTTCCTGCAGCCGGGCCAGGTGAAGTTTGTGCTGGGCCCAACCCCGGCTCGGCGGCACGTGATGAAGTGCCAGGGCCTTTGCCCCAGCCTGCGCGACCCCCCCCACCACAACAACAACGAAGGCCCCTCGGAGTGCCCTGCCCAGCCCAAGTGCACCTACGAGAATGTCGGCGGGGGGCTGCGGCGGGGGGCTGGCTGGAGACTGAGCCCAGAGGAGCCGGGCTGGACCGGCCTGGCCCAGCGCCGGGCCGCCCTGCTGCACTACGAGAACCTGCCCGCCCTGCCCCCGGTGTGGGAGAGCCATGCGCAGCAGCTTGGGGGGGAGGCCGGGGATGACGGGGACTCGAGGGACGGGCTCACACCCTCCTCCAATGGCTTCCCCGACGGCGAGGAGGACGAGACCCCCCTGCAGAAGCCCACCAGCACCCGGGCCACCATCCGCAGCCACGGCAGCTTCCCTGTGCCACTGACCCGCCGCCGCGGCTCCCCGAGGGTCTTCAACTTTGATTTCCGCCGGCCGGGCCCCGAGCCCCCAAGGCAGCTCAACTACATCCAGGTGGAGCTGAAGGGCTGGGGTGGGGACCGCCCCAAGGGGCCCCAGAACCCCTCGGTCCCTCAGTCCCCCCTGCCCACCACACACCCTGCCCGCAGCTCAGACTCCTACGCCGTGATTGACCTCAAGAAGACGGCGGCCATGTCCAGCCTGCAGAGGGCTCTGCCCCGGGACGACGGCACGGCCAGGAAGACCAGGCACAACAGCACCGACCTGCCTCTGTAGGGACGGCCCGGCCCCCACCTCGCCCCCGCCCCGGGCTGCGGGGCCGCTTTGCAGGAGGCCTCGAGGTGGGACCAGATGCTTCCCAGCTGCCTGGAGCCCCCAAAGATGTCAGCCACTGCGTCTCCTGGCCTCCACGCTGGAGAGAGGAGGGGTGACCGGGCGAGGAGGGCGCCTCGCCGTAAACTGTGAAGGGTCCCCTCGATCGAGTTCCCCCCCGCCCGTGTCCATTTGTCTCGTCCGTCTACTGTCCGTGTGAGTTTTTTGGTTGGAACTTCGAAACATTTTGTACCTGTTGATTTTATTTATCAGTTTATTTTTCTATTTATTGTTTTAAATGTAATTTAACATATTTATTATTAATATAATTATTTTTAAATTCTGGCCCAGTCACGATTCCTTCTTATGGACTCTTCTGGTGTGGTCAGAGGGCAGGGGTGGGGCAGCTGGGGCTCTTGTGACAAGTCTGTGATGAGAACCTAAGAGCTGACAGGGATGGATCCTCTGTTGAAGTCAAATAACAGGACGGGCAGAGTCCCGGATGCAGCGAGGTCTGCGGGCTGGGGGTGGACTGGGGCGGCTGCATGAGGTCCCGGCTCTGGAACCCCTCACAACACTCTGCTCCCGGTCAGGCCCCAGGCGCCAGTGCTCCCCTGTAACAGGGGCACAAACGTGGACCCTGGATCCTCCTCTGCTCTGGCCAGCACGGCTGAGTCAAGACCAGAACCTTTAAACAGGACTTCAGGAAAAGCACAGGAGAAGCAAAAGGAAACAAACAGGGTATAATGTGTAACTAGATGGCCTGACCTGCAAAGTGCAGCTCTCCTGGAGGACTGCTGCCCAGGAATGGCCCGTGGGGGACACCTCTACCCTACCACAAGGGTGGAGCCCTACCGGCCCCTGCTGGTGCACCGCTCCGACTCCCGCCCCAGTGCCTCTGCCGCGGGAGCACCCTTTCTCCCGCCCAAGGCCGTCTCCCCTCGCCTCGCTGGCCTCTCTTCCTCCAAGACTGCATTTCTGACTCAGAGCCTGTGCGGTTAATCTAAATCCAGTGTCTGTGATAAGCCACTCCGGCTGGGTTTATCCAGGATTTAGGGAACAGCCTGGGCCCAGTTGCTGTTAGCGCCCTGCTGTAAGAGCTGGTCAGAGAGCAGGCCTGTCCTCACCGAAACCACAGGCCGGGGTACGGCTCACCCACAGACTCCCTGCCCCTCCTTCCTGTCCAGAATGCCACTGAGGCCTCAGTTCCCGGAGCCCCAACTCCAAGTGGGGGTCCAACTGCTGGCCTCCAGAGCCTCCGACCCTGAGGGTCACTTCCTGTTGGGGAAATGGCTCCTGGCGGGGCGGTGGTTCCTGCAGGCTGTGGGAGAAGCCCTTGGCACGCAGGGCCCAGCAGGGTCTAGGGGGCGCACAGCTGCCAGCCCGGAGCTGGCCCCAGCCGTCCTCCCCTCTTGGTCCTTTGGGCTTGGGCTAACCGGCACTCCCTCCCGTGCTGCAGCAGGGGGTCTGCCTTCTGCAGCTTCCCCAGGCTGCTCAGCGGCTGCTCGGGGAGAGCTGAGATGGGAGAGGTCTGGCCATGCCGGGACCAGGCCTAGGGGCCCTGGCCACTCTTGGCACCTCATGGGTCTGAGCAGGTTCCTTTTTACGAGTGGACAGCGCTGTCTGTCACGGGTGAGCCAGCGGCTGGCGTCAGAGGCACTTCTGGTCCTGCCTCAGCCACCATCTCTGCCATGTTGATTTCTCCAAACAGGACTGGTTTCTGCACCTGCAAGGCAGGGAGCCTGTGTGGGAAGCAGCCTGCGAGACCAAGTAGTGAATGTGACGCCACTTTGGAAGGAGTTGGACGTGGGCAAGCTGTGTTACCAAACCAACCGTGTTTTAGGGAAAAATGGCCACAGTCACAGCTCCTTTGTCCCTCTGTCCCTCAGGCTTGGGACTTGTGGCCGTCCGTTTGCTGAACAGCTCTTGCTGGTCCTGGACTGACCCCTCCCCCACCCTGTAAAGTTATAATTGCTTCAGTGAGTGTATTTGTGGGGCTTTTGGGAGTCCAAGAGACATGGCCTAGGAATCGGCTCCCAGACAGGGGAGGGGGCCAAGCTTCCCGTCCCCCTCCCCTGGTTACTGCCCCTGCAGGAATTTCCTGGCGGGAAGGGGCAGGTGGGAGCCGTGCCCAGGAGGGCGGCCGCTGACCTGTGTTTGAGCCTTCTCGGGGTGTGGTGTGCAGAATGATCATCCGGGCATCAGTGATGTTTGCTGAGTGCTCCGTTCTCTTTAGAAACAGACCCTGCCTGCCCGCCCCCTCCGGGGCTGCCCTCCAGGAAGGCTGGGCCTGGCATCCTGTCTGGGAGTGACATTTCAGGTCAGACCAGCAGGGCCCTCCCCAAGCCCACCCTGGGTAATCACAGCACTTCGCAGTGGGATAAACACAGGCCACTTTCCACAGGGCCTTCTAGATCGTTTATCTCTGCCGGCCTCTCTGGGCTGGATTGTTATCTGCCCCACACAGAGGAGGAAACCGGCCCAGAGGTGAAGGGACTGGCCCCAGGCCACAGAGTTAATAAGCGGCTGGGGCTGGGGCTGGATGCCAGTCGTGTGTCCACCCGCCCGGCCCCGCCCCTGCTGCGGCCTGGTTCTCCCTGGTGGGCGCCCACCCCCGCAGCATCTCATTCCAGTGCTCCCTCTCAGGAATCCCTCGGGATTCTAAGCCACGGCCTTGCCAGCCTAACTCCAGGATGAGCCCGCGCTCCCCCACGGCCTGCCCGGCGCCCACCTACCAGCCCTGCCCCTCTGCTCTCCGTGTCCTCGGATGGGCGGGGCCAGGGCAGGTGCTGACCTCAGCTGGCGAGCATCTCAGCCGCATGGCAGGTTCTCCCAGGGAAGGCCAGGCTGGGTCCTTCGTGAGCTCTGCTCCCCAGCTGGGGGGACGGGAAACGGATCTGAAAGGGGAGTCAGGACCCAGGTGGACAGGGCTTGAGAATGGGAGGCCCCAGGCGGAGGGATTGCTGAGGCTGAGCTGGGACCACCCAGGGGCGCCTCCAGCGGGACTGCTGGAGACGTTTATCGCATCTTTGCCCACACACTGCCAGGGACAGGGAGCTCACTACCTCACAAGCCCCCCCCACCCGCAACGCCCCAACCCGCCCTGGGTCCTAATTCTGCCCTGGCTCCATATGTGACTGAGTTCGGCCTCTCTGCAAGGGCGCTGGATTTTGAAACTTGGTCACTGCTTAGTGACTACTTCACCTCGTCATGTGTCAGTTTTCTCCTCTGTCACCTGGAGTAACAACAGCTGTCCCTCATGGGATTGTAGTGAAGGTCAAAGAGGGAATATCCACCCCCAACAGCGCGAGGATGGGTGTTTGTTCTTTTTCATTTATTTGTTTATTCTCTTATTTACTTATTATTTTTTAAAAAATTTATTTTATTTATTTGAAAGGCAGAGTTACAGAGAGAGGTAGAGACAGAGAGAGAGGTCTTCCATCCGCTGGTCCACTCCCCAGATGGCTGCAACAGCCGGAGCTGTGCTGATCCGAAGCCAGGAGCCAGAAGCTTCTTCCAGGTCTCCCATGTGGGTGCAGGGGCCAAAGGACTTGGGCCATCTTCCACTGCTTTCCCAGGCCATAGCAGAGAGCTGGATCAGAAGTGGAGCAGCGGGGACTAGAACCGGTGCTCATATGGGATGCTGGCGCTTCAGGCCAGAGCATTAACCCACTGTGTCACAGTGCTGGCCCCCACTTATTATCTTCATCTACTCAAAAGGCAGAGTGATAGAAAGAGACCCAGAGATCTATCCACTGGTTACTCCCTAAATGGTTGCAATAGCTCCGGCTGGGCCAGGCCAAAGCCAGGAGCCAGCAACTCCATCTGGGTCTCCCACATGGGTGGCAGGAAGCCAAGTACTTGGGTCATCATCCACTGCCTCCCGGGAAGCATTAGCAGAAAATTGGATCAGAAGCAGAGCAGCAGGGACTCAAACCAGCGTCCCGTTATGGGGCCGATATGAGAAGCCAGAGTCCCAAGCCGCAGCTTCACCTGCTGCGCCGCAGCGCCCACCCCCATCTTCTGAAAGTGACTCCTCTCTGCCCACCCGCAAGTCCACCGCACCTGCTCCCCTCTGACCCAGACCTGAGTGCGGTCCACAGGCCTGACGTCACCTTCCCTTAGTCCATCACCTTCCTCAAGCTAAGGTCCTACTCCTGCCAATGCAGCCCTCCTCAGGCCCAGCCCCCTCTTCTGTCAGCGACCTCGGCTTGTCAAAGTCTAAAGTGTCATTGCTTCTTGGTGGCCTGGGTCTGTCTGAGAATTGACAGGCACCTGCTCTTGCCCCGGCGTGGAGCTGCCAAGACAGGGAGTGGGTGGCTGGGGGACCGGAAGTGCCGGGAATAGAGTCTGGGCTCACCATGGGGGTGGGTCATGAGGGTGCAGCTTGGCACGGGGCAGAGGGCCCTCAGTGAGCACTTCCAGAACTTGCATTCTGCACGCGGTGGTTGGTAGGAAGTCTCCCTAATGAAGGCGGCTTCCGGGCCACTTGCCTCAGACATCAGGCGGGTCCCCTCCGGGCCCCCGTGGGCCCTGTTTCTCCGGGAGGGACACTGCTTGCAAGACTGTACGTGGTCAGGCCTGGGAGAGGTCCCTGGAGTGTAAGGTGCAAGTAAGTGGCGGCTGTGTCATTGGCACGGCGATAGTGACTGAGTGACTGAGTGACGGAGCAGTTCTGGGGCCCTTCCTGCCTGGCCAGCGCTGCAGCTGGAGGGGTTTCTGTGGCTGACTCCTCCTTCCCTGTGGCCCCTCTTCACGCGGGAGGAGCTGGGGTCCCCAGGGTCGGCCCGTTGTCTTCCTCCACCTGTCCCTCTGCAGCCTGCCTCGTCTCCTCTGAGCGAGTGAAGAGGCCTGAGCGGGATCAGTGCCCCTCTAAAAAGCCAGCAGGGAGACGCTGGTTCCACCCGGCACTGCGCGAGGACAGGAGGTGCCACAGCCTGGGACGGCCTGGGGCCGCTCAGCCTCCAGGACTGTGAGAAGCAAAGGTTGAGTGTTTCAGTCCACCAGCCCTTGGACATTTGCTGCAAATGTCCCGCCTCACTACCATTATCTGCAATGTGGCCTCTGCCCTCGGCTGGACCTGCCCCCCTGGGGAGCCTGGGCCCTAACACCCCGCCTCCCGCTGGGAGCTCTGGGAGAGGAGGCGGTGGGTGGGGTGTTCATGTCCACAGCAGGCCTGGGGGGAGTTAGCGCAGCAAGAGCCTGAAGGAGACTCTGGCTGGAGCCTTGGGCCCCACACCAGGCTGTGTGGTGACCAGGCAGCAGTGACACAGTTTCCTGTAAAGGGACAAAGGTGACAGCCTCAGAGATCCCCTGGGAGCCTCGGGCAGCTTTCTGTGGGGAGG